AACTTAAAAAATATTTAATCTGTAACATACTTCTTCAGAGATGCTGTTTAAGAAATCTTAAAAAAAAACAAACTGCCTCTTTAAAAAAAAAGAATTTTTAAAGCAGTTTCCTCATAACTTATCAGACCTTTTTCAAATAACAAAGGTATGCAGCCTCTGCACTCAACACTCCTGTTCAACTCCCAAAAGTATTAACACTTAACTCTTCCTGAAGCCTTTAACCCGTAAGAATAATAATAATTATGCATTCCTGCTGCTTGGAGGACCAATAATTTAAAACCACCTACTGACAGTCTGAGGTAAAATGGATAAAAATATTTTCTTTTTACCCTGTTTGAAGACCACTGACATGAAGAACCAACTTTTCATGGGCCTGATTTGTGACGGGACCCAAGACAGAGGAAGTCAGTACTCAGCTCTGGCAATTTACCTGCAATCCTTAGACAGAATCAACTACAAGCAGGTAGTACTTGCTGAACTGTACAGATAACTATCAATATAACCAACCACAGCATATTATAAACCCCACCACACTCAAATTTGAAGGATGGCAAGCCGTATTTCATAATCCAAGTCACATTACTGTGACTTATACATTACTATGACTTGTATACAGGAATACTCTTAAATTGCAAGCATTCTTCTCTCTGATGGGTAAGTATTGCAGTACTTCACTAAGTAAACCACTTCTGCTGGGCACACAGCTCCTATATTCCCACTACCTTACCCAATATGGTTAAATTACAAAAGCAGTAACAGAAACTGCTCCCCTGCTGTTGACCAAAAATGATGAGCAGAGGGACATACAAAATGGTACTCATTACTTTCACTTCCGTTTAAACCCAATTCACCTTTATTTTTTTTTTTTAAGTACCTAAACAAATGAGTAAGCAAAGAAGTTTGGCAAAATGCTCAACAATAAATGTCCTGCTTTAAAACCGTCCAGCTTAGTTACAAACATGCAGACCAGGGTCATAAATTTGCTCACGCAACTGAGTACAGCCAATGGTATTAGAAATAGTTAAAAGTCAAAAAAGAATAGCCTTGTAGGGTGCCACCACATAAACTAAACATGATATACTGCCAAACACTCAAGTAGACACATGTACCATTATTCAGCAAGGACCACATGAATGCATATGGCTCTCTGTTTTGTCTTCATAGTAACAAGAAGGTTTGTAAACAGATCTCACATATGAAGCAATCTAGTCACTTGAGAATCAAATAATCTGCCTTTATAAAGAAGCATTCTGCACTGTTGCCACACAATTGGACTCAGATACACAATTAAAAGTCCTCTACATTCGTGCTTTGAGACAAGTGCAGCTTGATTCTATCCTAATCCATAGCAGTGAGATTTTAAGAAGTCACCTCAGTCAGGACGTGTAGAACTGCATTGGAAAATAAAATCCACACAACAGACTACAAAACATTAAAAATGTGGATTGTGCAATCAAGAAAATAAATGACACACTGATTTTTTAATGTATCACTGCCATCTTTGCACAGCTAAAGACCACAGTAATCTTCGATACACTTGCAGATGACAGTAGTAACTTCTTAAAACTCACATGAAAAAACCCTCTCAGCCTAATCTACAACACTTAATTTTTTTGAGAAATGAGACAAAGCAAAAAAAAAAATTATGAAGAAAGTTTCAGATAATCCATACCTGAAGTTTCAGAAATATCTCCTGAGTGGAAGGATCAAGAAAGATTTAACATCTAAGAGTAAATATAAACCCCAGGACACACTGCATCTATCTAAATATGCCCACGTGCTGCAAATCTAACAGGCAGAAACTCTCCTATCTTTGAAAAACAGATGCACTTTTTTAGCATGTCTGTATATCATCTTCACTACCAAAATATTGAGGATTCCACACCGTTTCCTGATAACCTGAGGATCAAATTCCTCTGGTAGTCAGTGGTAATCCACAATAACAACAGAACTTAAAACTGGGCCCACTGAATTTATACCTCGTTAGACCAGTAGTTCCTTTAATCTAGTAATTACTCTAATTACCCGGTGTCCCCAGAACGCCTGATGATGACCGGAGCCCCCTTGCGCTGGGAGCTGCACGAACACACGCCTGCACCCGCAGCTCCGGGAAGCAGAAAAATAAGGGACCTAGCCAGCAATGCTTCTCTCTTGCCACCCTGACCACTTTGTTTTCTTCTTTCGTAACAGCTCTCAGTATAAATTCATTAGAAGAAAAAAATAAAGAAAAAGTGACACACTTGACTAAGCCAGCATAAAACGTTTAGTGCCCCCTCTATTATTTAATAATGTACAAACCCAGACAGATTTAATATTAAAGTAGGCTTCACTTTAAAATGAAACAAGAGAAACTCTGTAGCTAAATTTCTGCTGAAACTCATTAGTATTTCGACTACTTTAGTTTAAAAATATTTTTAAGAATTATTGCCTAAAATCCCCCAACTCTTTAGTGTTTCAGCAGAAGTTTCATTTCTGCAACTATCATAAAAAAAAAAAAAAAAAAAAAAGTTTGACCATTAGTGCCAACTAATAAGAAAAACAGAACCCTTTTCCGGGAAATTAAGCTCTGAGAAGGTTTATCTTTGTCCTGGGGCGAGCCCCGGCCGCCTGCCCACGGAGACAAGATGTGCTGGCCGGCGGCCGGCCGGGACCCCGGGCCACGCGTGCTGGGCCGGCGGGGCCTCCCAGCGGCTTCCCCACCCGCGGGCCGGAGCTCCTGGGGACACCCAGCCCCGGAGCCCGGCCATCGCCGCCGTCCGTCCCCTCCGACCCGGGCTCCCTCTCACGAGGGGAAGGCCGTGCGGCGCGCCAGCCCCCGGCAGGAAGGTCGGGGCGGGCTGCGGGGCATGACCCGGGATAACCCGGGGCTTTCCCCCGCCTCCCCCGCGCCGCTTGACCCCGACGGCGGGGACACGGCGGGGACACGGCGGGGACACGGCGGGGCAGCTCGCCGCCCCTGCCCGCCTCCCGGCGGGAGCTCGGTGGTGTATCCTATGCGATATCCTATGCGACAGGCGCGGATGTGCCGCTTACATAATCCCCGCCGGCCGCACACGTACCCCGCATTACATAAGGGATCGTGCCCCCGCCGGCCCCCGCGGCAGCCCCGCCGGCGGGCGGGGGGACGGAGGGAGGGAGAAAGGGAGGGACCCGGCGGCGGCCCCGGCCGAGCCCCTCGTTAACCCCCTTCCTGTGGCGTTTACACGTCATGGAACATTCCCGGAACGGGCCAACGTCCCACCCACTTCAGGGAACAGTCACCGCGGCGCAGCGCGCACACGCACTCTCGCACACGCACCCGGCGCGGTGCCGGGTGTCCCCGCACACACACGCACTTCCCCCGTGTCCGGCACCCCCGCGGGGCCGCGCTGGCAGCCGCGGCACATCCCCTCCCTCCGCCACCTCCAGCGCCCTGCCCTCCGCCGCGCCGGGTGGCCCCGGGCCCCCCCCGCCTTGGTGCCCCCCCATCCGCTCCCGGGGCGCCGGAGGCCGCGGTGAGTGCCCCGTCGGGCCGGCCCCCCCGCGGGCGCCTCTCCCCGGCGGTGACCATGCCCATTCCCCGCCGCAGGAGGGGATTACGCAAGGCAGCCTTCTCCTCATCTGCATACACTTACAAGCCGGGTATTCCCCACATTTCCTAACGGCGTGTCACCGACAAAGGCCTGTCCCCGCCGTGTCCCCCTCCTGGCCGGCTCAGCGGGAAGGGCCGCCGGCCGTGGTGCCCCGGGGACGGTGCCGGTGCCTGCCAGCGCCCGGAGCCGCCACAGAGGTGACTTACCGGTCCGGCGGTTTTACAGCCCCGCCGGCTTCCCCCGCCGGCGCCCTCCCGCCGCCTTGCCCTCCATTTACCCCCGCAGCCCCGGGCGGCACTCGGAGCGCCGGCCGCAGACCCCCCGCTCCGCTGAGCGCCCTGCCTGCCGCGCCCGACCCCAGCCCCGCGGCGCCCCGCACCCGAGCCCCGCCGCCCCGGCGCGGCTGTCAGCTGGTGCCGGTGACAGGGAATGAGCGGCGGGCAGGAAGGAGGGGGCTGCCCGCAGCAGCCGGTGCTGCTCACCTGGGAAATCACCGAGAAGGAAGGAGGGAAGCCCTCCCGGTGCCCTTGTTGTTGTTGCTGCTGCTGCTGCTGATCCCGCCGGGCGCTCGTGTTGCTCCTTTGCTAAGGGCTCGCCCGGAGTGAGGCGGCTCGCGGTGCTTCTTTATATATAAAGACAGACAGAGATATTCCAGCGGCCAAGGGGCGCCCGCTTCACGCGTTTATCTTAAGGCAGGTCATTCCTCTCCCTCTTTTTGGAAAGGCTCATCACCATCTCCCTGACAGTGGCGGAGGGGCTGGTGTTGCACGGGGGAGAGGCGGAGGCCCGGGAGCCGCAGCCCGCCCTGGCCGCGGCGGGAGGGAGCGCTCCGCGCTGCAGGCGGCTCCGCCGGGCTATTCCTGGCACCACTTCCCAGAACAGAAGTTACCGGGCGAGCGCGGAGCGAGCGCGGGGAGCGCGCCGCCCGTGACGTCACCGGGTCCCCCCGCGCGGCGGCGGGAGCGCTCCCGGGCGCGGTGCTGGGCGCTGCCGCCCTGGGAGCTGCGCGGGGCGGGAGCCGCGGGAGCTCCGCGCCGGGGAGGGCGCGCACCGAGGAGGCAGGGCCTCGCAGGGCGAAGCCGCGGCCTCTCCCCGCCGGCGGAGATCGCCGCTCCCCTCCCCCTCCCGCCGAGGGAACTCCCAGGAGAGCCAGTCCCGACTTGCCGTGCGCAAGCCGCGCGTCCTCCCGGCCTGAGAATTTCCTCCGAGGACGCGGGATCCTCCTGCCCCCTCCCCTCCCTCCGCTTCCTTTCTCTCCCTCCCCCGGCCCCTCCACCCCCTCGCTCTCGCCTGGCCGAGATCACGTTATCTGTCAAGGAGAACAATACACCGCCGGGGCTCCCCGTGCCGGCCGCCGGCCCCCGGCTTCACAGCCGAGCCCGGGTCTCCCCCGGGCAGGGACCACCCCGACCCTCGCTCACCCCTCAGCACGTGGCCCTGCAGGAGGGGCGCGCATCAGGGCGGCCCGGCCGGGCTCGCCGCCGTCCCGGAGGGCAGGGAGCCCGCCGCGCCGCCCCGGGCTGCGCCGCAGACATATGCATTTATTGCAACACCCGCCCGCCGCCAGCGCCGCGGCCGAGCGGAGCGCAGCGCCGGCCCCGGGAGCAAGCCGCGCCGCCGGGAGGGCGGGCGGGGGACGCGGGCGGCCGCCGCGCCGCGCCGGGTAACGGGGCTCGCACCCTCCGCCGCCGCTCACGGGGCTGCCCGCGGCCAATGGGGGCCCGCAGCGCCCGGGGCGGGGTGCGGCCGGGCCGGGGCCGGTAGCGGGGCCGCTCTCCCGGAGCAGCCCCGGCCCCGGAGCAGAGAGGCGCTGCAGGGGAAATACCCTCCCGGCCGGGCGAGGCCGAGCTCCTGCTTCCTTGAGACGTCCCACCGCCCTTCCGCGGTGGTCGGGAACCCCCCAGGGGTTTTCGGAACCTTCGCCGACACACGCTCCGGGTTCTGCCGCTCACACTGTCTTCGAGTTAGTAAAAGCTGAGCGCGATTCCGGGGAACAGCGTTCGTGTTCCTGAGATTTGCCACGGCTGCTCGGAGTGTGAAGCTCAACCGGCTGGTTCCCTCTCCCGGCCGCTCCGGCAGTGCGGGGGTCCCTTGCCTGGCCTCGCCTAGTTTGGCTTTGCCGTGGCATCGGCTGGGTTTTTGACAGCAGGTCTTCACTTACATTTTAGAGCTAATTTTCTTTTAAGGAATCCATTCAGCCGCGTTTACAGGCTACTGGAAGTTGATTCGAAGTGATGCCAACTCGCAGCACTGTAACGGTGACATCGAAAGTCATACTTGGCATCTGAGATTTTTCTTTCGACTGACATCAAGAAAAAAATCAGTCACATGGATGGAAAGGAAAAAGTTTATACATAAATCCTGAAAGCAATGGTTCTTATGCCAGAGTAAATAAAACCATTATTTCATAATTTTAATAGCTAAGAATTTTAAGTTGTTCCCGAATCTTTTAGGGACTAATAACAATTTAGTGCACAGAGCTGGCCATACAGGGACATAGAAAAGCATAGAATCTATATATAAAATCTTCTCATTCTACTGTGGTCTTTGGCCCCAGTTAATTTTGGTGATCTCTGAGTCAGGTTCCTAGTGCTTCAGTCCAGGAGGTGCAGGAAGGAGAGTCTAGGGATTTCTTGGGGTTTCCCTCAAGTTATATAGGTACAAGATCATGTGACCATTATTTCATTATAAATTATGACTTCTTTTACAAATAAGACTTGCTCCTACAAGCATGTTCAATACTGAAATGGCTGGACAAAGAGGGGTTTGCTCCTTGTTAGGTCCATGAGCATGTCTGTCTTTGTTTTCCTGATTTTGGTGTGATACCGTCATTCCTGACACTGAGTATTGTTTGACTGGAATTATTCTGTCTGAGCAAACATATTGACTTTGGGCTTGTGATCTTTATTTGATGTCATGTTAGAATAAGTCAATGGGAAATGGAAGTGCTTAGGATTTGTTTCAAATTGAGGTTTTCCCATCTGCTGTTTTCTACAACAGCAGCATTTTTCTCTGCCCCCAAATGATGGCTGCCAGTTATCTTCCCTGCTGGGAGGCTGCAGACTCCTGACCAGCACCTTTGACTTTTTTGTATATGCCCAGCATTGTCATCCTCTCTCCTCCCTCTCACAAGACTTCAGAAGCTCAGAAGGTACTGCAACAAGGTTCAGTGTTCAAAATAGGAGTTTATTTACAGCCAGTCTCAAAGCAAAGTAAAAAATGTTTCTCCATAATGCTTTTCAAAATAAGGGTCTTTTTCTAATTATGTTGGTTACCTCAAGAAGCTATATATGTGTGCTTTCCCACATTCTCTTAGAATTGCACCATCTGAGCCACAGCCATTTCCTTCACTGTGGCTCTACAAGGCATGTGCTAGAGCTACAACTCTTCAGCACTTTGGTGCTTCCAGGGGAGAGAGTGAAGCTATACCTGTGCTCAGAGACCCTCACTATTCTACAAAATTCATTTGGCTCAAGCCCCAGAGCAGGTTTTGACAAGCTGCACAACTTGCAGCTGCAAGGGTCCTTAGGTTGGAGGAGACCTCCCCAGCCAGAGGCAAGGAGTTCCTCACAGGGTTCCTTTAGCCCTCTCCCCATTTGTGCAGAGTTGTAGGGGAGTGGATGTAACTGAGTATAGCCTGATTTTCATCCCCGACCAATGCCCCTTTCCCCTCCCAAGGCAGGAACACTATCCTACAGGGGGACTGCAGCTAGGACACCAGGGTAGTTTTCCTCCCAGACTCCTGCCAGTGACTCCACAGAGAGGCATCAGACATCTGAATCACTTTCTCTTGCCTACTTGTGGCAACAACATCATTTAATAATGATGTCCTTGCTTCATACCATCCTATAATTTCCCTCTAGATTTTTTTTCTATGTTTACACCCAGCTTTTAATAAAACTTATCACTCTAACAAAGAGAACTAAGGGAGCTGTCAGATGTAAGATTTACAGCTGTTATTCAAATATAGATTTTGCAGATTCATCAAAAAGTAAGTAATTCTTACTGCTTGGAAAGCACCTTGGCCTTCACAGCTGCAGCTCACAGCAAACATTTATATATACACAATATACAATGATAATAGTCAGTAATGATGTTCACAGATTATTAAACACTATACATTATTCTGAAAATCTGGTTTAATCTCAGAGCACACAGAATCCATCAGTTTTGTAAACTGTGCTGTTCTCAAATTAGATAGTAGAAAGCATTACATAATTTTTCTATAATAGTGTGGTTGAATTGAAATGTTAACCATTAATTTCTAAAATAGCTAATGATTTTAAAGTAATTCATCCTTTCTTAAGAAAAAAATAACTTTGTCCCCAAACCTGTACCCACAAGCTCATAACTATTCTTCACAAAGTTGCTACAAATAGAAATGCAGCAAAACAGACAATTCCTTTATATAAGGCATTGATACCTATTCACTGATTTCACCGTGAGCAGTGTAAAACAAAATGGACCAAATGGATCCAATTTTCTGAAAGTCTCAGAGGGTAGGAGTGCAAAATAAAATTAATGGTTTTATTTTGCTGTTTAGATCCTATTTCTTACGGTCTGATTAAGTTAGAAAATCTATGGGAAACTACCTGTGAATGGCTTTCCTCATAAATAAATACTAGAAGTTTCCTATCAATGATGTTTAAAACACACTGTCCTTACAGGAACTTCCTCCCATATTCCTTCGCTCATTTTTCCAACTGCCTGGACTGCAATGTCTCTTGCTGCCATTGCCTACACCACTGCCTTTTCTAGTGCCCTCATTACACTCAGTGCTCTTTGCACTTAGTAGAAAAGTATGCAAGATATTCAGGGCTGGCTTTCCAAAGCTGGAAGAGGTGGGTATACTCCTGCTTCTGCTCTCCTCTTTGGAGCACCTGCTTTTTCTCTGCTCATCAGAGAGAGAAGGGTCCTGAGCTGGGTGATGAAAGGCCTGTGAGGGTGGGGGTCCCAGCCACTAGGCCTTCCCAAGGACGCATGGAGAGCCTGAGAGGACACACTCAGTGCCTCTGGGGCCAGCAAGGAGGGTGAGAAGGGAAACCAAGATGGACCAGACGAGTTGGGGAGGATACTAAAAGAGCTGTATTTGCTTCTGACTTTACTTAGGATGTCAAATATGTCATAAAATCCATTTGAAGAGCAGTACTAATTCGGGTGACTGCTTTTTTTACTTTAAGAGGTAGCTACCTTCTACTGACCATCTAAAGTTCTTCTCAGAGATAACTAGCAGCTATGAGTTTCACATATCATTTAATCATTTAATAACATAGAATGCATTTCCAGCCACAGCATTCCACTTTGTAATTTGTACACATTGCTTTCCTTTTACTCAAGTGCCATCTTATCAATTGAGAAAAGAGAAAAAGACACTGCCAGTTCACCCTCTCAACATCTTTTCCTATGTGTTCCTTGAATCCAGGCTGCTGTATCTTGTTTGTCTACTCTCCTACATAAACAAGGGTAATCTTTCCTCATAGGGGAATGTGCCCATGACTCCTCCACAGAACACAAAGGAGTCACAGTGAAGCACTTCTTTATCCACAGCAGCTCCAATCTCATACAGTATCAAATGGTGTGAAGGAGCTAGAAGCCAAGGTGGTTAGCTTGAACAAGCCTGTGTGTAAATAACTCTGGCAGAGAGCCCAAAGGAAGGGGAGTCCTGTTTGCCTGGTAATGAACAAATGGCTGTATTTCCTGAAGGAAAAATATTTTTCTGCTATCTTGAGATTTCCTTAAAAAAAAAAAAAAGTTATTTTCTCCACATAAAGTATTTCCAGATGCAGAACTAACATGCTGTGTGCATCAACAACTTGATAATAACATGTCATCACCTGACCTTGGAAGAGGGTAAAAAAATGAAAAAAAGGCAGAATTTTCTGAAATTATGCCCTTTCATGGGAACATTTTTTTAAAGCACATGAATCCTGAGAAAATGTTTTTTTAAATAAAATTTGATTACTTTTACTCATTTTAATTTTTTTTCATAGCTAATTGACTAGCTGAATAGGAAAATCTATACTGCTGACTCCAAACTCAGGCAAGGGATTATGTGCACTTCTCATGTGAGATAAAGCTTGTAAGTTCTATAGACAGGTTCTCTTTGCTTGTCCTTCTTAACATCACAACCAAATTAAGTTTTTGAAAGACTTTCAGGCATTTGGAAAAAATATTTTGCCTTGCTGACAAGTGGAACATGTTACCAAGCCCTGATTATTTATCTTTAAATATAAAGTATTAGCTCCTGCAGATTTTGTATACTGGACTTAGTTCTCCCCCTCACCCTGCCCCATTTTTTACAGGAACAACTGAAGTAAGAGCCTGCCAAAAACATGGCATGATTTAGCAACTTCTGAGTTATATATAACCTGAACTATTAAGTGACTTAATTTTCTAAAAGCTTACCTATTTATATTCCCATTAGCTCTGATAGCCTTTCATTTAGCATTCTTCTCAACTCTTTTGCATCACCTTCCAATTCAAAGAAACCTCCAGTGCTTCATGCATAGAGAATTTCATGTATGAGCTGGAGAGAGCAGAGGGGCAGACCACTCTTAACAGCAAGTAGTGACAACTTGAAAACAGAGTAAAGAAGATCTCTCAAAATGGCAGGGGCACTTTGGATAAAAAAAAAATTGCATTAACTAAGTTGCAGCTATCTAGAATTTCACCATATTATCCTATCTCCATAAATCCTCTGGCACATGTCATGGGAACCTTCCTAACCACATTGGTTGCCTTCCTGGTTTTGCATCACTGGAATC